TGCTGCAACTGTTAGGACTTTGGCAACTCTTGCAGATGGACTAAATGCCCTTTGCATGAAGGGATGTGCATGAGTCTTTAGGGGGTGAAATGTTATGGTTCTAATGGAATATAATGTCTTTGTACCTAGAAACTGGTTTAAAGAAATGTATCTGGTTGCCAAGTTGACAAGGGGTGGAGTGTTATGGTTGAATCATTGTATCAACTTGGGGAGTCTAGAGGTTTGGCTAAGTGACTCAGCAGGAAGCCAGGGTGCTTACTTTGTATACCTCCTGAGCCCGTGGAAGAGGAGGGCATGGAGATTATGTGAGAGCTACCTTTACGTGGGCGTAGCCTGTTTACAGTGTAAGGGAGGGAAGGAGGCTGCTTGCTGCCATTCCCCCCTTTGCTCTTGTTGCTTTGCTATCTTCTGCCTCGGAGCCAGCCAAGTATGGACTGAAAAACAAACTGTGAGCTAAATAAACCTTTCCTTCCTTCATTTTGGGTGTTGGGTGTTTTGTCTCAGCAAGGAGAGAAAAGTAACCAAGACACCAGCCCATTTTAGAGCAAAAGAGAAAGGAGAGAGGATGGGGCAGTGTGAGTTTGGCTGCAGCCGGCTCGGAGGCCGGGAACCCGCAGAAGGCCCTGAGGTAGCTTCTTCATGCTGTCCCGTGCTGGCCTCCAGCTCAGCAGCTGCAAAGCCCACCCCCACCTGCGGACGCTGCCCAGACAGCTGTGCGTTCGTGAGCTCGGGAGCCGCCACTCTTCACTGGCCAGTTCCTGGGTATGTGGTCTTGGGAAGGTAACTTCATCTTGAACCTCGGTTTCCTCAGGTGTCACGGGGAGACAAAAGGGCTTACTTTGCAAGGGAATCCATCTATGTGTTTAGCAAATGTGTACATTATTACCTATCCACGTGCAACAACCAGCCAGGGTTTGCAGCCTTAATATGGAACAGGCGTTACGCAAAGTGCCTCTCACCCACACTTATTAGGCAGGTGTAATTAGGCAAATAGCACTGACTGGGTTGCCCTTCCACGGAGGACGAGATGAAGCCGGGAAATGTCACACTGCACAGCTAGAAAGAAGTGGAGGCTAACTTCCAGGGAAGCTGGCACAGAGCCCGCCGTGGGGGCAGCGGCAAGGCTGGAAATACCCTTCATTAATTTCCAAGGTGTCAGTAGCCCCACCGATACAGGAGAAATAAAACTCCAACCTGCTAGATGTCAGACATGCTGAGACTGGGTCCCTGAAATGGAAGAAGGAACTGCAAAGGATAAAGGAAATTAAGAGTAGGAAAGGTTTGTTGGGAGACAGCTCCTGAGACAGGAGAGGTCCCAAGTGGGTTGCCACTGAGACCCTCGGCAGGGGCAATTTACACTCCAGAGTCACAGTGGGGTGCAATGTGGGTCACAGCCCAGCCAACAATAGGGTTACAAGTCAAGCCACTTGGCTGGTACTGACCCAACAGGGAAGCGGGGCGCACACCAAGGGTATGCGGCTGGCATCTTTAGCCTTGGCTCATCTATGACTTCTTACACAGGAACATTTGGGGGAACAGATGGGACCAGGTGTTCTGGTCGCCCACCCGTGTCCGATGTGTATCTGGACCGAACTGGGTGGTGCTAATGCGGTCTCCAGTTCTGCTTATCCCTGAGGGGACCGTGCAGGTCTGGCCGTTGTGACTGATCGCGAGGCCTTGCCTTCTTCAGATGCACCTCCAGCCACAGCTCTGATTTTTCACTGACTTCCTTGAGACCCCGGTCCCTAAATGTAATTAATTTCTAGCTTAGCTGCCTATAACACTGCCATGGCTCATTTCCAGTAACCAATGGTTTAACCATCGGCTTGCAAGACTTCCAAATATTTAACAACTGGCCTCAGAAGCGCGTACCAGCTGGCTCCTGTAGTATATTGCTTTAAAACTAAATCTAACTGGCCATTCTGCTGAATGCTACAATCTCCTGCTATATCAATCAGAGCTTACTAGAGAAACAGATTTAATGCAGGACATACAAATATATAAGAATTCGTAAGACTGGCTTACACTGACCGCCCACAGAGCCAGGTGTGGAAAAGTGTACGAGGTCTGACTGTGCGCTGGAGACCCAAAGCACCCAGTCGAAGGCCCAGAGCACAGTGTGGTGTCCTGTGCGAGTCGTACCAGGAAGCTGAAGACTGAGTTGGAAGCCAGGAGAGGACGTCCCAAGTGAAGGCGAAGCCTGGAGCTCCTCCGAAGAAACAGAAGCAGCCCTCCTTCCTCACTCCCTTCCATTCCCTTCCAGGACAGTCATCCCTAGGGCGGGCCTCCCAGCCCCAGAGCTATCCTGAGCCAGTTTAACTGGGTGTTTCTTACCCAGTCAGTTAACTATCACAGCTGCTGCCGCAGCCGCCTAACGCAGAGCATACTATTGACGTGCAGTGAACTCCCGGCAAGCTGTAAAAAGTCCTGTCCCGGTGCTAGTCTTCTCCCCAAGGCCCCTGCAGGCCTGCCCTGCCCACAAGGTGCACAGCTGAGCTCTGCTAGACTGCTCCAAAAACCTGCAAATCCAGTACATCACTACACACTATGTCTTTTTGTGTTCATATCTGCTGAGTAAAAATTATAGGAAGCCGTTGTTAGGGACTAAGCTCCAACACTAGGCCCTGACAGATCAAGCTAAAAATCAAAACGGAGTTACTCAGGCCCAAGTTCTACCGACCCAAAATAAAGTTGTTATCTGACACTCTGAGAAGTCGGGAGACAGCTGAGAGCCACGTTCTCCAAACAAGCCAGCTTCCGCTGGCATCGTAAGTTCCCTTTGGCTCCATCCTTACGGAGACAGAGCAGTCCACAGCTCCTGAGGTCCGCTCGTCACTTATTTCCCTCTCATTCCATTTTCCTGTCCCTGTTTACAAGGAAAGCAACTCTGGAAAGACTGATCTTCTCTTTGTTCTTTGTTGCTGTTTCTTCAGCACTTATCTGTGCATAAAACCAACCTTCTCGGGTCAGTCTGCTGACATACATTTTCTAGAAGGAAGTGTTCCCCCAATCTAGATGGCAAATAAATCCAACTAAGATCTTTATTGAATTAATTTTTGTTCTATTTTGTTTGCAGTATTAGAAATTGAACTGAGGCCTTCACACCGAGCTACATCCCCAGCCACTGTTAATTTTTTATTTTGAGACAGGGTCTCACAAAGTCACCTAATTACCCAGTCTAGGATCGAACTTGTGATTCTCCTGCCCCAGCCTCCCAGAATGCTGGGATTGCAAACTACAGACATGTGCCGCCACACCTGGATGTAGTTTTGTTTGTTTTGTTTTATTTTATTTTATTTTGTTTTGTGACAGGGGTCTCCCGAGCTTAGGCTCAGACTTGCAATCCCCCTGCCTCAGTCTCCTGAGTAGCTGGGATAGTGGCATACACTCCAGGGCTGGCTGTAATTTTGTCTTTGACATATTGAATATGTCAGATGTGGGTATGGCCCATATCCTCTCCCGAAAGCCCCTAAAAGCATGAAAAGCCTTTTCTTGGCTGACATTTGCTACCTTCCCTCTCATCATTTCTTTCCTCCTCCCGGATACCTCCTCCCCTAGATGCACCCTTGCCCCAGACCTGCTTGTAGATAAGAAGTTTCCTTCACATAACATACTATTGGGCTTTTCCAGTGGTGTATTTATTTTCTAGTTCCTTATTATCTACTTGTCACTAGCAGATAAGGTAATAAGACTAAAAAACTCATCTGTCCTATGTATAAAGGTATTGCTAGCATATGGAATGAATCCAAACACTCATTTCAAACACGTGGAAGGCGCTTCTTATTTTTGAGGTAGAGTATTGCTATGGAGTGCAGGCTGGCCTCAAAACATGCGGTCCTCCTGCCTCAGCCTCCCTGAATACTAGGATTACAAGTGTGTGACACCATGTTTGTCTTGAAAGGCACTTACTTCTATAAAGATTTATTGAATGGATGTATGGATGCCCCAGTGCCTTTGCATATGCTGTTTTTTCATTTAAAATGTCTTTTCTCACTTTCCTTCCTGACTTAAGTCATGTCTGCCTTCTAAAACTCAGTTTAAATAGCAAATCTTCTGGGAAGTTTTGCCATCATTTCCTTTCCTTCCCCTACTACCCACCACACCCACAGCCTCTCACACACATACCTGGGTTTAATTCTCCCCTGGGCTCTTGCTACAACCTGGCCTTGTGAATAAGTTTTAGAGACCACTGGCTGCTACCCAGCAAAGGCTTTCGATGTTCTCCTTCTGGGTAGTCCAGAGCTATTGCCAGAAAGTGGCTGTCCAGCCATGACATCACATGGGGCCACTGTGAAGAAAACTGGGGGATGATGGGATGGTGGGGGCCACGTGAAGACTGCTTCCCACACACCCGCAGGGACGCTCACCTGTGCGCCGAGGCAGTCTGTCGCAGCTGTTAGCGCACCCGATGCACACAGCACACCTGCACACGGTGCGGAGGACCGCCACTGCGCATGCGTCTGTCTCCTGCTTGAGGCCGGATTGAGTCACCTGTCGTCTTCCCCAGGACCCGCCGCGGGGCCTGGCGAGCAACCGTGAGCCGCTGGTATGTCTGGCAGCTGGGCGCGGCCCCAGCAAGAAGCAAGCAGGTGAAGACAGCCTTGCTTGCTCTCTAACGAACTTCCCCTAAATTCTATTTCCACTGCAGAGAGTGTCGCACCTGCGATGTCGCACCCGGGAGCTCGCCCCGGCTGCCTTCCTCTCCGCTGTGAGGCCTCGCTGTCCTCCCCCAGACCCTGTGGGCTTTTAGCAGCGGGCTGCGCAGCCGCCACCCTCTGCCCAAGGAGCTCACTGGTGAGAACTGCTACTGAGAGCACAGTCCGTGCCTGGGTTAACTCTGCCCTCTCCTGAAGTGTTTTGTTTGTGTTTTTAAGTAGCACTTTTTCCTGTTAAAAAGGAAATAAATGTCTGATTTCTCTTCTCCTTTCCAACCTAAACTAATCATAACTAATTCTGGTGTAGGTGAACTTATCCTAGTGAGACCTACATTTCACTGACATCTTTAAAACCTAGGTGGGATTAATCACATTTCTGAAACGAAGAACAAAACCTGAGCGGGCCCAGGAACACAGACTGGAAGTGGGCGGCTCCGTCCGGAGCTAGTGCGCAGACTCACAGCGCCGGCGCGGTCCATTGTGTGGGGCTGCAGCGAGGCATCTGGGTAACTTAGGCAGAACGGAAACTTGCTTCTCGTAGTTTTGGAGCCTGGGAATTCCAAGACCAAGGCACGGGCAGGTCACAGCCTGGCCTCTCTGCCTCCCAGCGGCGCTTGGAACGCTGCGTTTTCTGGACAGAGGAGCACGTGTCCTCACACGGCAGGAGGAGAAAGAGGGGCACAGGGAAGGTTAAAGGGCCTCGGGGAGGTTTCTGGCAAATAAAGAGTTAAGGCCCTGCTGAAGAAAGAGCAGCCAGGAAGAACAGAGCCGGCCTGGCTCACCGCCTGCCGCGCTCCACCTCCAGCTAAGCTCAAGACTCCCTGGACAGCGCAGAGACCGCGGAAGAGCCCACCCAAGAGCGCGCCGTGGGAAGGGCGTAGAACTCTGGGAGCAAAGACCCCCGGGTTCCGGCTCCGGACTCCCTGTCGTTCCGGGACAAGGTGGCTGTCCATCTCCTTACTGCTCTCCCTTTTCCAGTGAAGGGACAGGTTCTCCTTCAGAACTTACATCTCTAATATTGCTATCGATTATTTACAAACCCTAGCCGTAAATCCGGCCGCACGAGACGTAGCAAGACGACGAGCCAGGCCCGCAAGCCCTTCGGGTAGCAGCGTGGCACACGTCTTCCCGGAGGCCAAGCCTGCCAACAGCGCTGCAAGGAGCGCGACCTTTCCAGCACGGGGATGTTCGGAGACACCGGCCTCCCCTAACGCAGCCCCAGCTTCCCTCCGGGGTTCCTTCCAGTGGCCCTTCCCACTCCTGTGCCGCCGATATTCTGTTCATATTTGCTCAGGTATTCTCTCAGAGGATGGAACTTCCGCTGTGACTGTCCTCTTCTCTGTCCAGCCCTCACCAGAATCACTTTCAAAATGCTCTTTATATTCTGGGTGTGGTGTGCACTCCTGTAACCCCAGCACCCAGAAGGCTGAGGCAGAAGGATCATGAGTTCAAGGCCAGCCTGGGCTACATACCCCATATTAAAAAAAAAAAAAAACTGGAAAAGCCCCTACAGGGCAACATGAGCATTTCCTAGCACACCCCTGAGAACTCTTCCAGCCTCCTTTCTCAGGCAGTTCCAAAGCCACTCCCTGTTGCAAGTGCTTGCTGCGGTATTCCTCCACTCCCAGCAAACATCTCTGTCTTAGCTAGCTCAAGCTGCTGTAAGAAGTCACACAGACTGAGTGACTAAATAGGAGAAATCTCTCTCTCAAAGTTCTGAAGGGTGAAAGTTCACCGGCGGTCAGTGCGTAGTAGGGCCCCCTCACAGGCTGAGAATGGTCATATAGGTCAGTCCTCAAATAGTGACGAACAGAGAAAAAGCAAGACCCGGAGTCTGCATTCTCAAGAGCACCAGTCCCACTCATGACCCCGTCTCCGGCCAAAGACTCCGTCTCCTGATGCCGTCACACTGGGCTAGGGTTCTAACATACGAATTTAAGAGTGAGAGCACAGCCAGGTGCGGTGCTGCACACCTGTAGTCTCAGCACCCAGGAGGCCGAGGCAGGAGGATGCAAAGTACAAGCCCAGCCTGGACAAGTTACTAAGTGACTTAGTAAGGCTCGGTCTCAAAATTAAACAATTTTTTGAAGGGCTAGGGGTGTAGCTCAGGAAGGCACTGGATTCAATCCCCAGTACTGAAAAAAGAAACATGAAGAAATGAATCCATAATACCTTTACATACACAGAAGGATTTGCATAATAAGCCTTCTGCGTTAGAAAATAATTAGTTAAGGAAATAGATCTGGATTCTGTGGTTACATTGCTTCAAAGCAACTATTCTTTAAAGAAACGTTTGACTTGTGCATTTTAAATTCAGCATTATGCCTTGATTGCATCTGAAAAAATATGAAAGGGAAAGAAATGACATGTTCTTCAACCAGAGAAAAAGAATCAGTCACTCCCCAGAGGCTTCTTACATGTCAGCTCCAACTGCACAGCTTGATTAATGCCAACCTGTTAATCTGTTTATCACCCTTCAAAAGCTATAAACAGGCCAGGTGTGGTGGCACACACCTGTGATTCCAGCACTTGGGAGGCTGAGGCAGGTGGATTGCCATGAGTTCAAGGCCAGCCTAAGCCTCATAGTGAGTTCAAGACCAGCCTAGACTATATAGCAAGACCCTTCCTCAAAAAATCGAAAAAGAAAAACAAAGGAGCTATAAACAGGTATTGACCTCCCCATTCCACACTCCAGCATAACAGTTTGGAAAAGGTTATAATTATTTCGGCATTAGGCCTACCAAATACTAAAAGTGACTTACAACGCAGTCACACAGAGATTGGATTTTGAAAGTTTAGGACAGAAAGACTTGGGAAAGGAAACAGAGAGAAAGATGAAAAAAAGAAGAAACCTGCCACGGAAGTCGGGCAGGGCTCTGGGCTGGAGAGCGGAGAGCTGGGAAGGCAGCTTTGCAGTCCTGCTCACCGGGCAGCTGGAGCACCAGAGGTGCCCTCGCTCTTACTGGTTCGCTTCTCCACTGACCTCTGAGGCCCCTGAGAAGTCAACACTGATAGTCTAAGAGATCCGGTTACACAAATATTCGCACCTTTTAAACTCAAAAATGGCTTAGAACGGCTGCCGGTGCAACTGACATCTAGTTCCTAGTTCTACTTTTCTGCATGGTGACATCTTAATGTTTTCCTACTTTTTGGGGCGGGGGGGGTGTTGGGTTTTTTTCAGTACCGGGAATCGAACTCACGACCTTGCGCTTGCCAGGCAGGTGCTGTGCCACTGAGCTAAATCCCGTTTTCCTACTTTGAAGGATACCAGAGTCTCCCTTGAAACTGCCCCGCTAGGCTTTGCTTGATTAATTCTTTTCGTGCTCACTGCTCGGGGATCTTGAGAAATCTGGCAGGGCCAGCTCACCATTCAGCAATGCCGTGACCTAGATTGGATCTGTTTCATTTAATAAACAGGGAGAGTTTGGCCTCAGGCTGTCAATAATACATCGAAGGCTGCAGTGGGCCCACAGCTGGTTTATGAGGGATGCTCTTGCCCGGAGTAAAACAGGCGTCAGCTGTTGACTTCTGAGATTGTAGAACCAGGCCAAGGCCTGAGCACACCTTTTAGACTCTTTTCAGAAACACTTACAGAGGTGTCATCTCTGTGTCTTAAAATACTCCAGAAAATCTGTGAGTTTCTCCCCTGATAAACTGGTGGCCCCAACCCCTCCTGATAATTAACTGGAAGTAAAAGATACTGCCCTCAGCACTTAGCATGAGACGACACTCAATAAGTCATTCTTGGTTCATGATTTATCTCCAGATCTGCTTTTTCATTTTGATAATATTACATCATATTGGCACAACTGCAGTAATAACTAATTTTTATTTATTGAGCGTTTATCACGTACCATGCTCAGGGCTAAATACTTCCAATGTATTAACTCGTTGAAGCCCAATAAGCATGCCGCAAGATAGATGAAATTATGATCCTATTTTATAGCTAGCCCGATAACGTATATCTATTAAGTCAAACAATTAAAACCCAAGTTTGTCCTATTCCTCAAAGACTTAACTATGACAAAACTAGTTGGGAATGTGTGGAACTACAGCATCTGAATCATTTTAACCGCTGTGACCTCGTTCAGTCTACTCTTCAGCACTCTGGGGTAAGTAACGTTATGCTCCATCCTCCAGATGAGGAAATTAAGGCTCAATAGCTAGAATGACTTGCCCGGACTATAGCTGCCAGACTGGATTTGGGGAAGGGGTGCAGGGGGCCAAGATACCCAGTTAAATTTGCATCTCACATGTTTAATATTTGGGACATATTTATACTAACAAATATCTGATATGTATTTGAAATTGAATAAGTAATCTGAGATTGATAAGTACCAAACAAACTGTTCATCCTGGTAAGTTCCACCTATGATTCATCATCTGAAATTCAGATTGAACTGAATATACTGTGTTCATACGACAACCTTACCTCAGAACTACATTCTTGGTGCAGGGATGCGTGATCACTTTCTTCCCCTAAACCCGGGGTTCTTTCCATCACACCTGAGTGACAGGCCTAAGCTCCCACCCAGATTTCTCCAGATTTCTAAATGGATTGTTATAGAAAACTGCCTCTAATAAGTTATTCAAATAGCCATGGAGAATAATATTTTCACTGTAGCTAGATTAACCTTAGAGCACATAGAAATCTCAGTCCACACATGTTGATGTCAAAAACTGTAACTTTATTTCCTATAACTCAGCTCAGTGCCTTGTCACGTACTAATGTTTTACACATGAAAACATGACACATGCTAGCAGAACATAGGTGAACTAGTATGTCCAAGTTTCTCTGATGGCACTAAAGCTTTTCCACCTCGGTGTGGTAATGCTGGTTGTCATAATGGTGATAGATGACCAGATCTTGGATCAAGAAAAAGTGAGAAACCAAATGCGTTATTAGATGCAGTGTGTCTCCTAGAAAAGTGTAAGGACCACTAAGTAGAAAAGATAAAAAAGGTTACCCAGCTGTGGGGCCCCCATTCCTTGGAGTGGCTTTGTACCACTTTCTTCTGCAAATAAATTTATTTTCGCTTTGCACCATTTCAGAGTCCTCTTCCTTTTTCTACAGGTGGAAAGAGAGTGCGGCCTGAGGAAAGCTGGGGGCCCTGAAGGCCACCTGTCAGAGCCCCTGCAACTCCACCCGCTTAGCTTGGGTACCACCTATGCCCATCCCCCATCACTCCACCCCCCCCCCACTTGAGCACCTCGGCGCATTCTATATAAACCCAGACCAAAGCACGTTCAGCCCTCTTTCCCTTGCTCACTCTTAAACCCACAAACGTGGAGTTGTCAGAACCCCAAAAGAAGGGGAGCTTGCCCCAAGGCTGAAGGTGAGGATGGCCAAGACTCCGTACCCTAGGTGCCATTCCTGCAGTGCTGCTCCGGAAGTGAGTGCAGCAAAGATACAAGCAACAGGGGAAAGCCGCAGCAAACCCCAGGGAGACGAGGGTTGCACCCAGCATGGCCCAGCCCAGCGTCAGCCTCCCGAGCCAGCACCAGCACCTCAGAGAGAAGGCTGCAGCCTCCAGGGAAACTCTGCAAAGGAAAGTCATGGAAAGAAAAGATTCTGAAGAATGCGGCCGAGGCGGAACCTTGAAGTCAGAGAGGGAGGTGGCCAAGGGCATCACGTGTGATGACTGGGCCCAAACGGTTGGACACTGCCGTTGCGTCCTCAGCATGTCTGAGGAGTGGCGCAAGCGCATACAGAAAGCATACCTCGTCTCGGTGGAAAGAGATGATATCCCACCACCCACCGAGAGCTTCAGGGAAATGAAGTTTCCTGTGATGATCCTGCCTGGCTTGAGGCATAAACGTATCTTCCACCAAACACACCTCCAGATCCAGGGCATGCTCCCCACCTACCCGCCGGGACACGACTGGCACGGCCTTCCTGGGGTCAGGCAGGACTCTGTGTTCGTGCTGCCCGTCCTCATATTGTGCCTGGAACAAGATAAGTGCTTGCCTTTCTCTAGGTGTGAAGGGGCCCTGTGGACTCCTCATCTGCGGCTCCCGGGAGCTGACCAGGCAGACCCGTGGCACCTGTACTATTACCGCCACGTGCCGCAAGAGGACAGGTCACCCCTCCCGTTCTGTGCGCTCTGCACTGGGGGACATGCCCCCAAAGAGCAGATGGAAACCGTCTGACACAGGGCACACATGGCGGTGGGCGCCTCGTGGATTTGTTACACCGGAAGACGGCCAGCCTAGAGGCCTGTCACACCCGGCCCTGGATGAGGCCCGCCGCACGATCGCTACGGGCTTTGCGGGCGACCTCCGCGCCATCTCCTCCTGCTGTAAGGCCCGGCAGCAGACTCTGCTCTTCACTGCCAAAGAGGATTCAGAACTTTGCCAAGAGTGCCCTGGGAAAGCCAATCACTACCGGTGTGGGGCATTCTGGGACCGCCAGACTGCGTGCCATACCGGAGGCGGAGCACCTGAGGGAGAAGGCGGAAATGGGGCACCCGGCCAAGTGCCCGCAGGAGGCAGCTCCACCTGCGCTCAGCTTTGTGGAGAAGAAGGTGGACATAGACGCCACCCATACGTACCTGCCGCTAAAAGAGGCTGAGGCTGTGGCCATCCGTGGGGCAGAGGCCCGGAAGGACAGACCAAGGCCCTGGCAGTGTTTTGAGAGGGCAGGAAAGACGTCTTGATGGCCACAGATGTGGCCTCCAGAGGCCTGGGCTTCCCTGCCACGCAGCACATCATCACGACAGGCCTCAGGAAACTGGATTTCTGCATCGGATCAGCCGTGCTGGGAGCTCAGGAAATGTTGGTGTCACCCCCACCATCAGTAAGGCCTGCAGTGAGTCGGTCCTGATGGACCTCAAGGCCTTACTTATGGGGCAAAACAGAAGGTGCCACTCATGCTGCAGGGACAGCACTGCGGGGGTGAGTCCTCCCGGACATCGGAGGAAAGCGTGGCTGTGCCTTCCGTGGGGGCCTTGGCCATTGGGTCACTGACCGTGCCAGACTCCAGCCCATGCAGACCAAGAGGTCGGCACCATCAGCCGCAGGGTCTACCTGGCCCACAGACCTATCTTCCGAGCCTCTGTTTTCCCTCCTTCCGACAGCCGATTAGGAAGATGGACAGCCTGTGTAAAATTAATAGATTGTTTGGGTTTATCATCTTCACATGGTTTGGAGTTCTAATAGGAATAAATAAGTTAACGGTTATGTATTTTCCTGGTTCTATGTACAGTGGCCCCTCAGCTCATGAACTTGATTCACTCCATGATTCTGGAAAGGATGGTCATGTCCCTATTCACGAGGGAAAGATGGCCACAGTCGTTTTCAGCACCCGACGCAGAGTTCACAAACAAAAACAAAAGTTTGCCAAATGCTTCCGTTTGTGAGCTAAATTGTTTGCAAACAAAACTGTCCATGAACCAAGGTACCACTGTACTTGTTTATAAGCAGGGGGTTATTTTAATGTTGATTATATATGTTGTTTTATGCAATGTAATACACGTATAATATTTGTTACATTGGTAATGGGGCGATGCATTAATGCACAACACACAAAAGGTAAAGAATAGCATGGATTAC